AAATACTTCATTAAAAAATCTGATTTTTTGTGTACGACAAACAAATCTATAATAAAAAATACTTCATTAAAAAATCTGATTTTTTGTGTACGAAAGACTTGAAATCTATAATAAAAGTCTCCCAAATTTTGTGAAGATACACTTACTGCATTAAAAGTTATAGTATAAATAATTAACTCATGTATATTATACCAAGCTCATCATGAAAGGGTTAACAGTTTTCTGTAGCACTGTGTATAGATAGAAATATATGAAAAGCGTGTTAGGTAAGAAAGCTTATTGTTTGAAGTTGGTGATTTTGCTCACATTGATATTTGTTATGTCACTAAAAATCAAGGTTCCCCAGCCAGATGTAAGCTGTCAATGTCTGTTTTTTTAATCTCGAGTCTTTTTTGCATGTTTGTTTGCAGTTAAGGACAGAGCTACACAATAAGCTATCTTTGCTGTTCTCACCACGGGTATTGAAGCCTGGATTTTTAGTGGTATAAGCCTTCAGACTTTCTTCTGAACCTAATCTTCAGTTATGATATCACTAACATTAGAGTTAGTTGCTGCTGCATTGGGTCAAATGATGTACAAGTCTAAGGTTAGAAATCTCATCAGCAAATTCAGGCTTATGATGAATGTATAACAAAATAGTTATATGTTGAACATAAATGGTATGACATTAAAAATTGAAAAATGCTTTTAAAAAATGAACAATTTGACAGTTATTATTTTCAAAACTATCTGTACTACTAAGTACCTCTTTGTAACAGCAATATTTAACCCATTTGTTTTTAGTGTTACATAATATATAGTTGGTATAACTTCAATGTCTAGAGAAAAACCTACAAAAACTTTTTATGGTACATTGCCTGTTTTTATCCTGATGTCCAATTCACTTACACAATTTCTAGTGAAAACTTCCATTTATAAATATCAGACTATTTCAGTAATAACCCACATCACTTCTAGTATATATTGTAAAATAACTGACTTTCATTTCTACTTACATTTTGATTCTTGTTATCTTTACAAAAATAAACAATCAATTCCATATCTCAGTTCGTAAGTTTATCCAGGTTATACAGTAAAGTTGGTGGTTTTATAACTTTAATACAGGAAATGACTGATTTTTTTTTTCACTAGAAGAGGCTGCACCAAATCTCTAATATTCAATTCTGCCCCAAAATCAGCTAGTAAACCTCATGAACAATCTTTTTCAGTCAGACTCAAAAGATAACAAAGATCTTATTCTTCTAATTCTGACATATCCTATCAACATAAAAGCCAAGAATGTAATAGAGAAATACAAAACTAACATGATGTTTAGTGATCAACTCTTATTATCTTACATACATTAAATTAATGTTCTCAACTTTTGGTATGTAATGCATTAACACCTAGTAACCATATTCAGGACCCAATTGGTACCTGATTTTGAGAATGACCCAAATGCTTCATTTGTGAATATGTAAACAACACTATTTGTGTACAAGAACTTAAATTTGTCTTCCGTATAATATGCAAGAGTTGTGGACAATTGTATGTGAGACAAACAAGCTATTGCCTCAGGGACAAAATCCATGAATACCTGAGTGATGTAAGAAGAAAAAAAGAATACTGTTCTTATGGGTGCCATTTCAGTAGTCCAATACTGTTCTTGTGGGTGCCATTTCAGTAGTCCAATACTGTTCTTGTGGGTGCCACTTCAGTAGTCCAATACTGTTCTTGTGGGTGCCACTTCAGTAGTCCAGTACATGAAATTAGTGATTTTTTTGTAGTGGGTGTCAAGATGCACCTTTAGATGTCCTCTAAACTGAAAACTTCAAACTGACTAATCCATAAGTTAGGTACTATTGACCCTAAATGAATGATTCTCTGTCATTAATTTTATTTTTAGCACACATATACTTTACCATCTGTGTAAGTTTAACATACTATTTATTTAACTTTTATTTGCATTTATTTTATTTTAATTTGACCTCGTTCAGTAAATCAAATAAAACATTTAAGTGATGCAATATTGTTAGACTGTACATATATTGTTACACAATTGTTGTGAAGTTTGAACCGTCAATAACTTACTGTTAGCAATATTTAGCCAGGTCAAATAATTTGATATAAAATTTCTTTGCACAAGCCAAAGAAAAGGCATGAAATATTCTGGATTGTCTTTCTCCATTAACCACTACACCAACCTCATGTTATGAAATTATCCACCTAACCTAACATAGAGTATAACATGTGGAGAAAAAAATAGAGATTGTAAGATGTTAGGTAAAATCTTTGTCATAAACCTAAATAACTGGACTTATAAGAACTGATGTTTCAGTCCACACCCTCCATGGTAGAGTAGGAAGATCTGAGTGCTATAGTTAGCTGAAAAGCTTATAAGCCTTAACTCTCGTTCAGACTTAGAGAATATAAAGGTGTGTACAGTAAAAGCTTTATTATCTGAAATCTGCTGGACCTAGACAGTGTTGGATAGGAGAAAAAAATAAATATATATATAGACTACATTATCAATAAAGTAAATGTTTCCTGTAAATCTTCTTGCCCTTTATACATTGCAGGAGTTTTTGTACCCTGGAGGTCAAACCTTAATGTTGAAATCTTTAATATTTAAATTTTGAAGGCTGTTACCCTTCATCTTGAAGAATTTAGTTTAAAAAAAGGATAATAAAATTTTAACATTTATTAAGATTTAGTTTTCTAATCAGTGTTAGAACTTGTTTAATTAATTTTTGGTACATGATAAGCCTTTAGCTTAAGTGTCTGAATTGGTTTTTCTCAGCAAGTTTTAAAACTATAGCTGACTTTCTTTTTACTCACAGGTTGGTGAGGGTCGAGCTCTATACAACCTTGGGAACGTGTATCATGTCAAGGGTAAACACATGGCTCGTTTAGGTCAGCAGGACCCAGGAGAGTTTCCTGAAGAGGTGAAGGTGTGCCTAGAAAAAGCAGTGGAGTACTATGAGTAAGTAGTGTATTTTGTTAAATATTCTTTTAATTATTGGAATATTCATAGCTTCATACTGAAGAATAAATGCTTCTGCTGTATCTTGCTATAAAAACTAACAAACAAACGACAAAATGAAAGCTTAAAATTTATATTTGTATGCTTTGCTTGTAATAACTTTTGTTTAGTGCAGTTCAGGTTTACATCAACAAACAGTAGAGTATCATTGCTAACAACACGTGGAATGAGACAAAGCATAACTTGAACTGATATTCATGTTGTAGATTGAAAAGTCTGACAAGGCACTACTCATGGATGGATGCATACTTGATTTAGAGTCTAGATGATAGATATAAGGAAATATTGTTCTATCTTTGCATGTAACTCCTTGGTTTGAGGATAAAATATACAGCATCTTGTCTGCTCACATCATGCAAATGTACTCATGTTCTGTGCATAAGACTCCAAATCAAACTAATGAAAAGCATTTGGCAATTAATTCAGAAATTTCTAACTACAATTTGCATCACATGTCTTTCTTCCTTGCTAAAATTTAGTGAAAATGTAATAATGACAATGTGTGTTTAACAATGAAAAGAAAGCTGAGCCACCTGCTTATGATCAACTTGTGTCCAAAGTGATGATTTTGTGATAGTAATAATCACATGATGACTATGTCATTTAGTATATCAGGTCTTTTTTTTTTTCTGGGGGGGGACACTTCATGTCTGCCATGGGCTCCACCCAAACTACCCTACATTATCACAGTCTACACTTTCAATGTCCACAATCTGTTTATCATTCAGCATTTTTTTAATTGAGTCTGCCAATAGGTTTTTCTGCCAAATGTAAGTAAACTTTATGGCTGTTGGTATATTAACATTATGTTTGTTTGTTTCTAATACATGATTTCATTTGGTTTTATTTTTTTTAAAACTTGTCAGTTTTATTTTAATTTTAACATGGACTTATAAGAATTACTTTCATTGATAAATTTACTGATAATCCCAGTTGGATGTCTTCTCACATTTCCAGTTTTGCCTGCTTGTCAAGTGGCAAATTGGCCAGAATTTGCTGTTTAAGGTTAAGTATGAATTTCAAGCTGTGTAAAATGAAATGGAACTAGTACATGACATAGTTTTACACTATGCCATTGCAATACAACTGTAATTATTGACCTGAAAGCCAGGGTTCACACAGTCACATTAGCAATAATACAATCACATCAGTGTTGATAAAAATTTTGAACAAATGATCTTATATCTTGTTGAAACTGATGTAAATAGATATTCCGATACAAATTCACATGAGACATTTGCATGCTGTCATGAGCAACTCTCCATGAATAGGAGTGCAACACAACTCCTGTCATCACTAGTGCCCTCTCTTCTGTGAAGCCCATAATCACTTTTTTGATTGGCAGTTTAATTGTTCATGCATCTTTTCTGACTGAAAGTTTTCTTTATATCAAGTTCATGGTTAACAAATTCTGTTTGGAGAACAATTTTTTTTCCCCAGTTAACTCCATTAATGCATTTGCAACACCATGTGTCATCTACCACAGCTGCTGTAACTACTACCATTGGGTCAGTATTTAATGTTTCCTCCCTCTCCAGATATTGGGATTCATGCGAGTTATTTCAGGGGATCAATTGGGTTCAAGTGTCAGTATGCCTCAACCCTCACATACTCTGGACAACCATGCTCTGGCATATCGTCGTTATGATTTTCCCTTTTTAGACTCTCAGTATTTGGAGTCGATTGTCCCTTTGTGGGAAATACTTCAGATTTCCTTGCCCATTGCTGGCCAGTGTCTTTTGGAGACAGTTCGGTAATTGCTTAGCAAGAGTGCCATCAAATGGGGGAGTTCCTTCTCATGTGGGTATTTATTCCTGTCTGTTTGTAGTTCCAAAAAGATGGAGCTGGTTCCCTGTCATTGATCTGTTATCTCTGAACTGCTTCTTGGTCCTCTCACGTTTCACCATGGAGTCTTACTTTGCCTTTGTTGGGTTTTTACTTGTGGTCTGTGGATGAAAATGGTCAATGTGTCAGATACATACCTACACTTTCCTGTCTCCCATGCATCTGAACATTATTTTTGATTAGTCCATTGGAGGTAGGGGTGTTTTAGTTCTTGGCTCTTTCTTTCAGACTTGTCTCTGCTCCCTATGTTTTTTGTCAGATGGTCCAGGCATTTTCCTGTCTTCTTCATTCATGGGGCCTTTATTTCTACTGTTACTTTGAAGCCCCTCTCCTCCTTACGTACAGACCGACTTCGCCTGATGATTGAATCGAGACAACACCACTATTGGTGTTCCTCAACCAAAATGTCATCTTTTGCAGATACTTTTCTTTCCATTTGGGGTGCATATCTTGATGCATGAGAGTTTTCAGGGTGGTAAACTATCCATATCAATCTCTTGGAGCTTCTTGTAGTTTGTTGGGTTGTGGTTTTTTTCCTTCCAGCCCTTCGTGGTCAGCTTGTGATGGTGCATTCCATCGACCAAGCAGTGGTCTTGTACATCTCTAGGCAAGGGGCACTTGGTCAAGAGATCTATGTTTTCAGACATTGTGTCCACAGCCATCGAATTCTTTTGTTGGCATGTTTTATTCTGGGGCTCATGAATCTTGTCATGGGTTATTTATCACATCTCAACAGGAATTTCTCTACAGAGTGGTCACTGGACCCATGGGTGTTTCAAGAGCTCTGTGCCCAGTGGTGTGTTCCATGGGCTGGATGCCATTGCCACTCATCTCAATTCTTACCTCCCATGGTTTGATCTCCTGTTCCACACTGTTTGGCTGGAGCAGTTGATGCTTTCAGTCAGGATTGGTCAGGTCTATACCTGTATGCCTACCCTCCCGTTTGTCTGCTTCTCTGGAACTTTTCCATCATCCAGACCACTTTGTGTTTGGTTCTGTTGGTAGCTCCATGTTAGCTGGCTTAGCTGTGGTTCCCACTTCTGTTCTGGCTACTGGTGTTACATCCTTTCTTTTTCCCCTACCCTTCTTAGTCAGCCCCAGTCCATTCCCACACTCAAGCTTTACACATCATTTTTGTCTGGTTTCTGGCCTGGTGGGCCATACTTTTGCAGTGTGTGGCATCCTTTATTTCACATTCTATCCATTTTTCCTCCATGGCAGTGTATCAAAGAAAGTGGTACACGTACCATCTTAGTCCCTATGTCATGGTTATCCTCTGTCCTATCTGACCCTTCCCTACATCATTTCCTTTATAACTTGGCTCTTTGACAGGAGATTTTGGTCTCCTACATCCTCCTGTCATAAGGCTTTTGTTTTGCACATTATGCTCATGTTTTCATTTCGCTGGTCCTGTCCCTTTTGGTTCTCTTCCCTTTGCTTCATCCATCCTCCTCTCCCAGATTGGAACTTCATTGTAATCCTTCATGTTCTTACCCTTCTTCCTTTTGAACCTTTGTTGATCTGTTCTTTTTATCACCTCTCCTTGAAGATCCTTTTCCTCCTCCTGTTGGTGTGCAGACATCATCATTTGAATGGGTTTGCTGTTGATGTCCACTGCACCTTGTTTCACTGGTCCCGTGTAGTTCTTTTCTCTGATTGTTCTTTTATGCCAAAAACTTTGGCTACTTGGAAGGGTAATTCTGCTTTCTTCTTTCCATATCACACCTTTATGATTATTTTGATCCTGATCACCTCCTATGCCCATTCAGGACTCTGCATGCACTAATTCCTTTCATGGTTTCCACTCCCGGTTATTTATTCCTTGGAATCCTTCACATTTCCCTTTACAAGTAGAATTTGCCAGGCTTATTCTTCCCTTTCTCCCGATGATTGTAGTCCTTTTCGTGTATCTTCCCATCAAATTCGTCACCTTACCATGTCCCTGGCTGCTCATTTCTGTCTTCCATTGGAGGGCATCATTAGCATCAGTATGTGAACCACTCCCCATACCTTTATTTCTCATATTTTCACCACCTAGCTGTTTCTTCTTCTACAGGGTTTCATCTTCCTCCCATCACCATTTTGCACTCCATGATTTCTCTTTGAATGGGTAAGTATTCCTTTTTTCTTCGTTTTCTTTGCAGGGGTCTTCATCACACAATTGAATCCCGCTTGTTGGTGAGTGTTGTCTGATCGGGTATACTTATTTTTAAATTTGCACTGTAAGACCAGCATGGCATATATTCCCACTGTTGAGATGGGGTGGTCTGCAGGGCCACTTATAGGTATGCCTCATGGTATTTTGCTTCCTAAAGATGTTCGTCCTGAGTGGTACACTCGTGGACTAACATTAGTAAAGCAGACAGGGATTACTACCAATCCCTTAGGATCTGTGTATTGTAGGTCAAAATATAGTATTGCAGTCATACATTGCACTGTCTCTATTGCAGCATTCCTTCAGACTCTCTAGTGCACCAAATCTTCTCTTCTTCTAGTGGAGTATGGGAGTCTTAGGCACTTACCAGTTCCTAGTTGCTGGGATAATGGACCATGGAGGTTTCCTCCTGAATGTGCTCAATCCCAATCAGTTGAAAGTAGGGTGGTGGTGTTCTATTGGTGTAGATGGCATTGATGCTCATCCTACAGTGGATCTGATGTACAATTCCAGATGCCATCAGTTGTTGAATGATGCATTCTGCTAACATGCAGTTTGCCCCTCCAGCTTAGCCACCCTCCTTCCTCCTATCCCCTGGATGTTGGTTCCCGGTGGATATGGTGATGGTTGGAGCTGGAACAGCCACATATTTCCTCACATGTGTGTGGCTGGGTATCCTCCTCTTACCCAATGCTGCCTGGTGATGGACTGGAGATGCACCCCCACTTTGCTTCAGGTATAGATTTTGTATGTACTGCCCAATCTTGAAGTGATTATGGTCTGCATGGAAGAGAGGGTACAAGTGATGATAGGAGTTGTGTTGCACTCCTATTGGTGGAAGATTTCTTCATGATCATTTGAATGATAGCATGCAGGTGACACACGTGAGGGTAGGTAAGAGTATCAAGGCTAATGGGGAGCAAACATTTACACATATAGAGGGCAGTATAAGTCAAGAAAAGCTATTTGTGAGTAAAGGTATCTATCACAAATACATTTTCAGATTAAGAAAATATTAAAATTTTTATCTTTACTATATCTTACTTGTGAAACTTCTGTATTCATGCCAGTGCAAAGTTCAAACATAATACTCTGAAGTTTGAAATTACAAGTGGTGTTTTTGTAAAGTGCAAAGGAACTGCCAAAGTAATGACTTCAACAAAATAAACATGCATAAAAAACAAAAAAACAGAGTAAACCAGTTAAATTATTCCACTTACATAATGTACAAAAATGACAGAGCTGTGATGTAGATTATTTAAAGGCATGCTATGAAAAAAAATCTTCTGATGTAATAACTAAAAGTTTAAAAATTTGCAATCCTTAAAGGAAGAAATTAATCTCAGGTTTTGGATCATATATTTAAGATTTTGTTAGTTTTAGCAATCTGAAAGTTTTAAAATAAAACAGTGAATTGAATTTATCAGTTTTGTAACACCACAAACTTCAGATATTCACTATTTTCAAACCATTTGACCTGAAATTAACCAACAAACTCAGATTTTGAGCTTTGTTTTGTATGCTGAAAATTGTTATACATATGGTTGGGATGTTTAAATATTTTTCTGCTCTTGTCAATTGGAATTTACAGTTGAGCAAGGACTGAAATGAGGGTTAGTAAGGTGGATTTGTTATTATTACTGTACCCTGATACAAATTTTAATAAAATATACATCAAAAGAAAATTTGAACATTTCCTTAATAGTTTTATTTTGTAATTTATTTGAAAGGAGATATCAGACAGAATTTTTTAAAGCTCGATGCTATCATATTCCTTCATGATAAACTTGAGAAACCCAGTTTGAAAGGACTAATTGATAGGCATGTAAGTTTGATTATATGATACTATAAAGAAGAATGTATACCAGTTGAGTCTCATTTCATTTTTATTGAAATTCATTAAAATATGGGATTAAATTGTTTTAATCAATGAAAAGGCTGATGTTTATTCAAATCTTTTTAAAATCATCTAATAATATGAAGTTTTTCCAATAAATACATTTGGGTTACATCTGTTTGCTAAGTTTTAAATTTCCATATATTAGTTTAGGTAAAATCTGGTTTTTGTTTTTAGTTTTGAAGCAAGATAGTTCACAAAAGTCATGTATTGTTTACAAATTTTGAAGTAATAAAAGGTAAATTTAGAACATAAACTGGTGCCTGTTATTTCTCTTATTACAATATCGAGAGCAGGTGATGATTATGTAAATGTACATGCATCTTATTAAAATGCTAAAATACAATATTTTCAGTTACTTTTATGTATTTTTCTGTTGTGTACTTTCTTTTTAGACAAAATCTGACTCTTGTGAAGGACATAGGGGACAAATCTGCACAAGGACGTGCTTGTGGAAACTTGGGAAATACATATTACCTTCTAGGAGACTTTCCTAAAACTATTTCATA